TCTTCCAACGCTGACAACGCTTCTCTGCCCATTGACTTTGAATGGGAGTGACGTCACTTTGCCTCGCTTTTCGCCGAACTGCATTGTGGGGAAGCAAAGCGAAGATTTCCAGGATTTTCAGGATTCAAAAAATTGATAAATGTTCAACTTTTGAAGCTGAGCTGGAAGCGTCAGCCAATCAAATCCCGTTTATGCAAATCTGACAGTACAAGCGCTAGCCAATCAAACCACGTGTAAGCTGGGCGAGACATACCGCAGTTCATTTCCTCATATTCCAAACGAGAAATTACGGTAGCAAATCACCCGGTTCTTTACGACCAGAACTATTTACCGGGACACAAACCGGAGGAACCAGGCATGGAGGGAGGTGGCAGAGACAGTGGGTGAAACTGGTAGGTTTTCGGCTGTTTGGGGATTTTATATCCAGTTTACTTAGTTTTAACATTGCTATTGCTTTGTATGTCGGGGCGGGAGATTCATGTGATTGGTTGTTGGTCGCAAAAAATCCCCAAGCTTTCAGACACGCCCACCTCCAAGATTTTTTCAAAGCTGCTGTGTGGACGGGCCGTAAGTGAAGCTTCCTTACAGCACACTCAGGAGGAGCACTACCTTGACTTTTAAGAAGCAGTGTTATGAAAGCCTCTGGTCCCAATTACACGTTGGGGAATAAGAGGAAGGTAAATATTACGCTTCCCACTCCTATTGCTGAAGTGCCCTTCAGCAAGGCACTGAACTCCCAACACCCCACACCGGTAGTCCCAGGTGAGAATAATCAAGACTTTAACTTTTCAACTGCCTGCTAGCACCCTTAATGATATGAGTAAAAATACTTTCTCATTCACCTAAGAAATTAAGATTTAAATCCAAACTGTGATATTACCAAACAGAACACAGCAGCATAAAATGTTTTAAAATAATAAAACTGTCCTAATGCAGAATGCTCATTTCTTCTGCACATTTTATATTCTCCAGTCAGAATTATACGGAGGTACAAACGCGTAATAACAGCCAAAACACATGCAGATGAAGAAACATCTTCACCAACTTGACGAAACATGCACAGCTTTTACTGAAAGCTCTGTTCAACCGTCATGCTCCCTGGAAACTCGCCTGAAATGAAGTTTTATTGGCTAATTTGAACCATTTCCTCGCATAATTCCTTCTGATGTAACTGCAGATCTGCTGGAAGCTAGCTAGCTAACCTTAAGCTAGTCATTTCAAGTATAGTGACAAAGCATTTTTTATTATGAAACAGATGAATTCTCTGAGTTGCTGGCCAACCTTAAACTCCCAAACGGCAACAAGCGCTTCGGTCTCAGCTGTGTGCATCACTTTTTATTGTCTCTATTTCTGTTGTGTTTTGAGCTTCTTGCAGTGTTTTGATTTTCAGCGTTTTGTTTTATGCAGAGCTTTCAGTAAACGCTGCTCATGTTTCTCCATCTGCATGTGTTTTGGCACAGTTGTGTTTTAATATTTGCATTGAATCCGGAGCTGCAGCGCATTTCTCCTAAAGGAAATGTTTCGGGACGTTGAAAAGCGTTTGCACCTCTCGGCCACAGCGGAATTAGGATTGATATGAAGTGAACGTCTGCAATGTTGTCGGAAATTGCTTATGACATTGCTTTGCTTTTGAATAAATAACACGTCAACTGTACATTTGGATCCCTGTGATGCTTTTATAAGCTACCGTCCTTAGTGCTGATCTATATTTTAAGACAAAAAACATATTCCTGTGCTTACTGCTTGTTTTCTTTCAACTATTCCCTTGGAAAACCGCATGCCGTAAGCAGAAAACAGTGAGGACAGGGATCAGGAAGTTAATTCACTGTTTGTTCATAACACTGTGCTCTACCTGCTTTGGCTTTTTGATCGGATTACACCAATATACTGTCGCTTTCAACACACTCCGTCCTTAATCCCATTTGTCAACAAATCACACACCTAACCACATGGGTGACCTTAATCCCCAATTTATCTCCACAATCATCACCTGTCCCAGGAGCCATGTGTGTATATGTGCGCACGTTATCTCGACACTATCTGCATACAGCATCACAAGGCTGCGCAGTGAAACCCACAACAACTTCCTCCCCTCTCTCTTTATACTCTTTAAATGTTCTCACTGGCAGCAATCATCTGCTGCGGCCCTAATGGAAAAGAGCCATTGGGAAAGATGATGGAGTGCGGTGATAGCCTTGTGCAGGTCAATAGGCGGAGCAGAGTCAATCCCGTTGCTCTTAGAAATCGTAAATGGGGACATATGGGGACAAAAAGTATCCTGGGGTGGATTTAACAGGCTTTTATTTTGGTGTGTGTCCTCTGTGCTTCACTCTTTAGGAAGTACAGAGGACGTACACGGCCCACTTGAAGGTTTTTCATCCGTGTAAGAGTCTTTTTGACTGGAGTTCTATTGCTCCATCATTGACTGTGTGTTTCTTGCATACACAAAATAAGCTGCCTTCAGGTAACAGCCTCCTCATTGTCAGCTGGTTGATTTAATCTCGCTGATTGCCGGGTGTTAAAGTCTACCGTGACACAGAAAAAAAAGGGTTCAAATGCAAACGACAGCAATACGGCTGCTGAAGAGGAAAATCGGCCTCGGAAAGTGAAGCTGCCAACTCGTCAGCGGACTGTCGAGCGCTGTTAACGCCCGCCGACTTTTCTTCTCTCCTAGGCCAGTACAAAACAAAAAACTGAAAAGACTTGTTACTCGGCCAGAGGCGAGGGGGTGTGCCAGGATTTCTTACGCGTAAATAGAGTTGTTGAAGACTCGGGAGAGGGAGTAGTTGATGTGGCTGACCACGTGGTTCAGCTGCTCCTGGTTCTGGAGTTTCAGCGAGTAGGTGGTCTTGTCTGTATCGATGACAACCTGTATATGGACAAATGAAGATTTTAATAGTGAGACGTCATGCTGCTATGAAACAGCAGGATTTGTTTGTCGGTGTGTCACCTGGTGTTCTGGATAGGTGTTCATGGCTCGGATTTCCAGGAAGTTGAAGGTGACCTCCGTCTGAAACAGCAGAAAGATATCACTGTGGTTCACGCTGACATGCTGTCAAAAGCCCTATCTTATTATATTGTCTTCTAAAAACACAACATATTCAGGGTTTTCACACCTTCTTAAACATCATATTGAAGACTTCTCAAAGGCTAATTCCTTTAAATGTAAGGACAAAACATGGTATAGTTTGAGAATATGTTGATTTGATCAATGTACTATAACTGCAACATGTTTTGTGATTTGTATACATTTAGTTTTTTGTGCCTCTTGAGAAAAATAACTAAATTAAAGTATTGAGAAAAAAAGGTTCATAACCTTGATTTACCCTTCTGAAATCCACAAGCTTTTAAGAAAAACATGAACAGTCAAAGGATCGTTCATGTTTTATGCAACCCTAGGTAAGCTACATTGAGCAGAAAACAGTCAAATCACAACCCTGTTAGCTATTAACATTCATCACAGGGAACTAACTGTGCTGACTGTAGTCGTGCACACCGCTCTACTGACGGGTTCATAATGTGTTGTGTCAGTTTAAACTGTTGGCTTGCTTACTTCCAGTTTTTGCTGATGTCATGTATGCAGCAACTCAGGACAGCCCTGACTTAGATTCTTTCTTTTAATGATATTCATTCAACAGGTATTTTGCAAATTCAATGGATTGTGCATCCCTAAGAGTAGCTATAGCTGGGTGTGGAATGATAGTTCAACTGGAATTGTGCCACAGTAAACAAAAGAAAGCTCTTGAACTGTTGACTTATTTACAGCCTGTATGATTTACCGCTCCTGTTTCTGGCCCTGTTAAGGCTTTGTTGTTGTGATGTTACCGTTGTCCCCGATCTCATCAGTTATTCTGATGTGTGCGTTGTTATAATGACTGTTATAAGTAATGGGAAAAACTATATCAAAATAGGACCCATGGTAAATAACATATACTTTAAACGTAGTTGGACATTTTTGGAATTTAGCTTGTTTTCTTTCGTTCAAAGTGTAAGCATACAAACTGTGACAGTGAGGAAGGCAAACAAATCAACTGAAGGGCTCGTGATTATTCACTACAATAATTTGCTGTCTGTCAATGGACTCGTATAGTGTAGAAATTATTTAAAACAATCATATAGTCCAACTAATGATTATAACAGGCACATGCTAGCTTGAATTTCTCTGAATTTATTTTGAATACATTTCACTTCAAACTTCATTTTGCAATAAAGTATATTATCTGACAAGACAATACACTAGTTCCTGGACTAATTATATAATATTAAGTATTTATTTACTATTTTATTAGTAAATATGCTATACTGTGATATATATTGTTATCGAGACAAGGAATTACCAATATCAGGATAAAAGATAGGTATTTTGACCAGCACCTCAAAAGCCTTTTGACTCATTTGATTGTGTGTAGATTAAACAAACAGGAAACAAGTTGAAAGAAAAACAGTTAAAAACAATAATAAGCTAAGAAACCAAACCGCTGTAGCTTCGTATTTAAAAATAGTATCGATCTTTTAAAGCAGCCTCTGCAATAAGGTGAATAAGCATATTTACCAAAATGACAAACTATTGCCTTAAATAGCTAACATCGTGCCACCGGGCTGCCACCTTTATCATCATCATCAGTGTAGTAATCCCTATCATTCAAAAACATCATCCCCGCAGTCATCATTATTATCTCCTCTGAAAGTCTGCAGCTTTTTTTGTCACATCTCTTAGGAATTACCATAAGATCAAGCCTGGCAAGTGAAAGCCATCAAATTCCACAGAGAGTGGGGGGGAGGAACATTTTACCTTGGTGGGCACCTTGACAGCGAAGAGATACAGTCTCCATGTTGCCAGGACCTGAGGGGGAGAACACATTCATGTTTCTGTCACGGAGCAGGAAACACAAAAAATGCAAATGGCAGCAGAAAATAGCACGGCACAAACAGCCCCATAAAAGCGAGCAAATCATGTTCCGCGGCTCGTCCCGAGGACTCGTAAGTCACGCTAAGCACCGCCGACATTAGCCGGGTAATGATGATGGCGTGTGGGAAAGAAATATTACGAGCTAGATTGAGAGTCAGATGACGGTGTCCGATTTAAGTTGTATTGATGGAACCAAGTAGCACTTACTCAACATATGCCTGATTGGAAGGAAGCAAATCGATAAAAGGGAAGAACAAATATAGGAGGGAAGAGGTGAGCTTTTGCTAATAGAAATACCATTTTAAGGGGGTCCAGGGTAAAGTAAGAGACAGAAAATATGAATATATTCGCATCTGCCTATGTAATTAATCTCATTCATAATTCAAAAATCCCCAATTAGCATACCCCATGCATGCACTGTGGATCTATATCGCTCCCTAACTCCTACTCAGATTCTTGGCCCTACTTTTTTGTTGTTGCATTCTGTCATTTCTCTTCATCTCCATTGAAAACTGTTCATTCTCCCCATCTTCTCGCTTAATCCCTAATCCCTCCATCTCCCAGTGTGCCTCTGTCTGGGTCTGCTCCCACCTCAACACCTCACTCCATCCCCTCTTGCCCTCTCTCCTCCCCCCCCACAACAAACCCCCTTGTCTCCTTTCCTGTTTCAGTTTTTCTTTTTCTGCTCCGTCGCTTTCAATTCCTCAAGGCCTCTCTGTGCTGAATGGCTAATGGCGCCCTGCTGTGTGGCGTCGAGAGGAAGAAAGGGAAAAGAAACGCACAAAGAGAGAAGGGAGAGTTAGAGGAGGCGACGGAAGGACGGAGGAGACACCAGATTTCCCCTCTTGATAATGAAGTCTTCAGATACTACACCTACTCCCTGAGAAGCTCGCCCTCGCAGATCAACCTACGTGTCTTAACTGTATAGACGTCCATAACAGACTCCCGCAGAGAGGAGACGGGGGAGAAGGACAGGAAAAAAGGGAGGAGACGGAACGATACCTCCATCGAGAGAATAAGATCTCCGCACTAAGCTGGTGGAGGGGCCTTTTCGCAGGAGATTGTTAGTCCAATCAAAACGCCTTGACAAGTTTGAAAACTCTGTTACATAAATCCAGGAAGGAGCGTAGTGGGACCTCGAGGCAGCGCAGAACAGAGGAGCAGGGGGGGAGGTGGGAGGAAACAATTAAAGACAGAAGCATCTTCTTGCTTCACAAGCCTCGCAAGCTGACAGATGATCTCATAATGTTAACAGAGGCATTGATAATGCAAGCTCTCTGACGGGTGCACACTTCATCCTTTGATGCTGAACAAGCGCAGGGTTTGTCCACTCTCGATATATCATTTACAGACCATTGAGGTATCAGAACAGTCAATACTCCAGGCAGTTATTTTTCACTCGGATGGGGTTTGTGCAGAAATGAAGAGTCATATCTAGGGGAGTACCATTCAATATATGAGGTGAAACAAATGTCTCCCTTTCCAAATAAAAATGTCACTTCGCTACAACCTCCCTGCGCTCCATTGCCCCCAATAATATGAAGGGCAGGATCAATGCTGTGAGTAGGCTCCTCATTTTTCAGCGTGTCTACACAAGAGTGCTGATCCATACGCTCTGTGTTATACTGATGTGCGATATCATTTAATACGTTTTACCACTCACATCCATGAATGTATGCATGGCTCTTATTTTTTCATTAGGGTCCAAGCACCATTAAATAGACCCTCCAGAAAAACGTGATTTTGCGATCGCAGAATTTACCGCATAATCAGCAAAATGGCGCAGATTTTTAAAAGGCCGCATATTTATCAAAAGGCCGCATAATCCCCGCATTTTTCCACACAAAGTTGAGAGAAAAAAGTGAACTCGTCTTGACGTGACGTCATCAGCTCGCGCATCACAGAATGTAAA